AACTTGCTGCTTTTTCAAATTGCTTTTTCATTGGGCATCAATTATAATTATGGAAAACGATGATATTTTCAGGTAATATTTAGTAATAAATGTGTATTAGTGAGACAGAGGATATATAACCGTTTCCCAAGGGTGATTGACTATCACTCTTGGAAAATGACTGGCGTAATTAAATTTTTGCTATAATAACTATCACGGGGTGGGCAATAGACTTACCTCCACGCGGTGCACCCTGGTCAACGTATACTTTTACGGCAAAAAGTCTATTGATCAGCAGTTGACTTCTGACTTCAAACTACTCTGACCCGACTTTTGTCATATTCGACCCCTACCACAGTACTCATCTTACCTTTTTATGCCTTTGTATCTGTCCGCCCATCTCTTTTACATCTTTGAAACACTCTTCTATTCCACCCCCCCCCCCTCGACTTATTTCACTCTGATGTTCCTTCCTCTCTGTGGAGCCTGAAGTCAACTAAAGGGCTAATGATAACTATCAAAATGCCTGTCATTTGATATAATTAAATCATCACTATCACCACTGCTCTCTACTAGGCAGATTTCCTTACAATTTGCTCCAAGCAGGGTATTTTAAAGTAGAGGGTTGATATTCTAATATTCTTAATCTTTAGTATAAAAGATGAAAATGCAGATAAATACAGTTACTAATCAATTAAGGAGATTGACTTTGGCAAATATCTCCAAGATAATTAAAGAAAGGTTTAACTAAACAATCCAATGGCTGTAGGAGTTAATTGAAAATAATTGATCAACCCAGGAAACCATTGCGGAAGTATATCATTAGCACAATATCAAAATTGATGTAAATCCATGGTTAGTGAAATTTCTCAAATCGAAATGCTATGCTTCCAATGATTAATGTTCCCTTTTATCCTTCAAATAAACAACCTCATTTGCAACGTTTTGCAGATCATGATCACGATAATGCTCTCACAGCTTTTAGCTTGGTTGATTTTAAGACGATAGAAGGGCGTTCGCATCAAAGTTTTTTAAGATTCGTATCAGTTGAAATAGGAAAATAGGTAAGGCGTCAATAGGCTTTTGCGTTAAAGTGCCAAAATCCCTTTAGGTTTGTGTGTTTAAGGTCGCTATGATTTATTCCAGAAAAGCTAAATTTTTACATATTAATGCAATCAAGCATCCTGGGCAACGTATGCTCATACGGCAAAAAAGTCTATCAAACGGCAGTTGACTTCTGACTTCAAACTACCATGACCCCACTGTATCTCATATTCCACCACTTCCACAGTACTTATCTTACCTTTTCTCTGCCTATATGACTATCTTTCACTTTACATCTGTGAATCACTCTTCTTTCCCTCTCTCAAATTTTTCTCACTCATGTTGACTACCAATATGCTTGCCATTTGAAATAAATATATCTTTTAAAGACATTAATACAGCCTTCGTCTCACAAAGAACCTAACGCGGCGAAGTTATCGGTGGAGACAAAAGGGTCATGTCACATAAATTTAAGATATTTTATCCATTGCAACGTAAAAACGGTCGAGCTCTGTTAGACTTTTAGCCCCTATGTAACTTTTCTCATGTCAATCATTACTGAAAGAGTCAAAAAGACGCGGCAAATAAGCAGAAAGAAACGGCTGGTTAATAAACTCTGGGTATAACGTATCCAGGTAGCCATGATCACATGATGAAACCATGGCTTTAGAACACCAAAAGTGCACTGGAAGGAGGGGCGGAGAGTACATAACTCAATTGAAAATGGGAATTGTTGAGAACTTTGAGAATTCTAATAAAGCTGCAATTTTCAAATCCTGACTTCAATAAATATCCCCCAACACCTTCACTATTTTTTGATTTTCTGAATGTTCAAATTCACTCGGATAGTCAAAACTAAAAAGGTGCGTTACCTCCATTGGCAATAATGGCTGGACTTCAGTTCAAATCAACGGACCAAGGTCAGCTCTTATTTTCAACCTGGAAATAATGCCTCTTTGATGAGCATGTAAATGAGAACGATGGTTAAATTTAAGGAATAGATTCCAAATCGAATACACAACGCCAATTTATTCAAACTGATCACTTGGAGAACTGCACCCCTCCCCCCTCCCAATCTATACATAATTAAAATTTTATAGTCTGAGTCTAGATGATTGTAAAAAAACCGAGAAAGTGGTACAAGATCTCACTCTAAGCGCTCATTGAAGGCAGAGGTATAAAAGATAGTTGCATGAGAATCGGATCAAGACTATTAGAATATTATTGGTTAAATCGTATTTAGAAGTTATTAGGAAGTACGTGCTTTGATCTACCACTGTCAGTTATTTGCATTTTAAAATGAAAGCATTCGAGTCTATGATTTCAGTTAGGTCACTGCAAAATATCACGAGTCGGAATCGAATCTCAATATAATTCACGAAAACTTAAAAAGAACTTCAGAGCACTTTCCCAATGACCAAGGGCGGGCTTAGTTATTTAATATATTTCATTTTAAATAGTAAATGAATACGATTTGGCCATATTTCTTCTAATGGAACATATACTTGTAACTCTTCAATAGATATAGTTTGTTTTCTGGAAAACGAAATCGTTATGTTAGAAATTTCGTAAATTCGTCAAGTGGAATTGACACATTTCAGATTATTCACCAATAAGTATAAAATATAACTAAACAATCCACTTCACCCCACCAAATTTTGCAATTACGCGGAAAATCTGTTTTTTCTAAAATTTAATTTGTACGTAGGCGACGAGTTTCAGCTTTAGGGAATTCCGGGTGTACTTCAATTTGACAGAAAAAGGATTCAATTGCATCCAAATGGCTCTTAATGCATGTTTTATAATTGCAATTCAAGTACATTTTAATAAATTAAATTTGCGATTCCATACGATAGTGTTTCCCGATAAAAGCATGTTTAGTAATTCTCAAATTTAAAGCACCTGAATAATTCAAAAATAGAAGTGAAAATTAATGTTACTTCTTCCTCAAATCATTTCCATCGGAACGTTATAGCAAAAGCTTATCGATTTTCAATATAATCATTAAACTGAACTTAATTTTCTCCCTTATTATTCCCATTATCGCACTAACTAAATGAGTGCGCTCTGTCATCTATTTTGGCTTATTAAAACGGAGACTTTGAAAGACCTTTCTACCGCCAAGTGGAAAATTCCACAAAAGAAAGGTAAATTGGAAAGTCAAAATATTGTTAGTAAAGCATTATTCTGATTCACATGCTTTATATCCGCAATATTTTGTAATACGACAATATTATATGCAACAGTCAGCTCTAAGCTGCCCCAAAAACCATCTGTTGTGGGGTAATTTGACATCGAATGAAAGATTTCAACAAATGTTAAAGGAGGATTCGATAAGTTACCGGAAGTATGATCTAGATATTAATTGGTTATGTTTCCCGAAAATATTTTTCTAATGTAGATTTTACTTTACAAAACTTAAATTCCACGATAGTTAGTGCTTTGTACTAAAACGAACTCCTCCGATGGTTAAGAATGCTAACGGTTCTAAATTGGTACCCCTGAGGCGAGAAAGGTTACCGTATGCTGTGACCACTCAAATGTTTCATAAGTTACCTTTTTTGAGGGCACCCAATCAGATATTACGACTTATTACTGGAGGGATAATATCAGCACCCATTGATGCAATACTCCTGGTTACAGGGAGCACTACAATATGTTCCCTTATCAACGAGAAGCTTGTATGAGAAGCTATTGTGCATTCCCATGGATAAATTCTTCAGCACCTATGAGAATAGACCAAGATAACTGATTTCGCAATCTAGTCAAATACAGAAAGCCATAGAATCGAAGAAAGCATTACAAATCGATAACAAACCGAAAAACTTCCCTTTACCCATGAACCCATTAGCAGACACTGATGTAGTGTGTTGCACCCAACTGCTTGACTACTTCAGGAAAGCAAACACCTCTCAAGAACAAATGTGCTCACTGGCTCTTGAGACAATTAATGCCAACTATCCTGGAGATCAATGGCTCCAAGTCTTCACTGATGGGTCATACATAGAAAACCAAGCAAACTTTGGTGCAGGTGTCTATTCCGAACTCTTCTCTTTCTACGCAGCAGCGGGACATAATAGATCCGCTTTTGAAGGAGAAATAGACGCCATTTGAATATCACTTTGCCAATTATGTTGATTCGATACGAAATTCGCCAAAGCAGCAATACTTTCGGACTAATAGTCAGCAATAAACTCTATTGGAAACAGAGAGACACCCAAAAGCTAAATTCACCAAAGCGGTGATACTTTGGGACTCACAGTCAGGTTTACCAAAGCGGTGATACTTTCGGACTCACAGTCAGGAAACACCAAAGCGGTGATACTTTCGGACTCACAGTCATAATAGACCTCAATTTGAAACAGAGAGCCACCCAAAACAGCTGAGATAATAGAATGTAGAAAACTCTATGAGCTGCTGAGAGAGAAAAACAAAACAGTGGTTCTCTATGAGGAACAGTTGAGATAAAGGAATGTAGAAAACTCTATGAGGTGCTGAGAGAGAAAAACAAAACAGTGGTCCCACAATGGATTCCTAGTCATTGTCCCATTAAAGGCAATGAGCTTGCTGACACACTTGCTAAGAAGGGGACAACGATTTTGCAATGCATGGACCGGCTGGTAAAAAGTGGCAATGAGAGCCTCTCTCTACCCATGAATCCATTATCAGACATTGATATAATGGATTCCTGGTCACTATGGCATTAAAGGCAATGAGATTTCTGACACACTTGCTGAGAAGGGGACAACATTTTGCAATGCATGGACCGGCTGATGTCTTTCCACACAATAAAGTCTTTATGGACCGGGGTCTTCCCACCCAATGAAGGCCTTAATCAGAAGAGAATTCAAGACCTCAAGAATGAAGGCCTTAATCAGGGGAGAATTCCAAATCAGAAGAGAGTTCAAGACCTCAAGGTGCAACGAACTTGAGCTCGAACAAATGAGAAACAGTGGACAGTGGCACTCTCCGATTAGAGGAGAAATAGTGGACAGTGGCACTCTCCGACATACCCGGCTTTCCAGACCTCAAGGTTCAACGAACTCAAAGCTCGAACAACAGAGAAACAGTGGACAGTGGCACTCTCCGACATAGCCGACTACGAGAATCGACCGTTGATGAGTTTAGACTACGTACCGAACACGATTGCCTATAAACACCTTCACAGATTGGGAGTATACACTCAACTCACATGTACACCTTCACAGATTGGGAGTATACACTCAACCCACATGGACCTTCACAGATTGGGAGTATACACTCAACCCACATGCCCATTTCACAGACTGGGAGTATACACTCAACCCACATGCCCTCTGGATTGGGAGTATACACTCAACCCACATGCCCCCTATGTAGCCTGGGAGTATACACTCAACCCACATGCCCTCTATGTAACCTAACGATTGCTTGGCAAAACACCTTCACAGATTGGGAGTATACGAGCCGTTGCTGAGTTTAGACTACGTACTGGACAACCGTTGATGAGTTTAGACTACGTACCGAACACGATTGCCTATCAAAACACCTTCACAGATTGGGAGTATACACTCAACTCACATGTACACCTTCACAGATTGGGAGTATACACTCAACCCACATGGACCTTCACAGATTGGGAGTATACACTCAACCCACATGCCCCCTTCACAGATTGGGAGTATACACTCAACCCATATGCCCTTTCACAGACTGGGAGTATACACTCAACCCACATGCCCTCTGCACAGATTCGTACCGGACACGATTGCTTGACAAAACACCTTCACAGATAGCCGTTGATGAGTTTAGACTACGTACCGAACACGATTGCCTATCAAAACACCTTCACAGATTGGGAGTATACACTCAACTCACATGTACACCTTCACAGATTGGGAGTATACACTCAACCCACATGGACCTTCACAGATTGGGAGTATACACTCAACCCACATGCCCATTTCACAGACTGGGAGTATACACTCAACCCACATGCCCTCTGGATTGGGAGTATACACTCAACCCACATGCCCCCTATGTAGCCTGGGAGTATACACTCAACCCACATGCCCTCTATGTAACCTAAGAGTATACACTCAACCCACATCCCCTCTATGTAACCTACAGGAGGAAATGGTATACACTCAACCCACATACCCTCTATGTAACCTACAGGAGCCACTCACCCTCTATGTAACCTACATGAGGAAATGGAGAAGACCCACCTGATTCGATGTCCAGCTCTTAAGACAACGACGGAAACTTAGAGATACAGTGAAGCCAGAAGGTAGATAATGAACTGATTTTAATTAATTGCTATATATGTAACCCCCCCCCACTCATGGGGAAAGCTGAAGTCAAAGTTTAAGGGC